TTGGAGCAGATGCGACTGAAAGTTCCAACTCTCCAAACACCGGGTTGTTTCCCCTGGCAACCAGCCCGGTTCTTAGTTTACCTAAGGGTTTTCCCAAAAGTCACTTCATTGACTTAAAAAAGGCACCTTTCCCACTTTCTTCAGAGGAAATTCCAAGGGTTTTAGGAGGACTGTTGCCAGGAATGGGGCCAAAGAACAAATGTATATTTTTATTATAAATCGAAATATCACAGACCCCTTTCCATCCTCCGCTCAAATCCTGGGGCTTGTATTTAGACTTTTCCACGTTCAGTGCAGCCCAGGCTCAGTTCATTTGCTCATCATTGCACCGGTTCTTCTCTGGTCAAGGTTTGTTTTTCCGCAGCTGGGAGCAGAGATAAGGATTTTCCTGATGAGTAGAGCAGACTTGTGCCAGGGGGAGGGTTTTGCACGGTCATAGTAAAAAAAAGGTCTTATGACTTTCACATCCAGACAAAAAGGGAGGTCTTTTATTTCTTCGTGGACAAAACTGGACAATTGGTCCCACCTCACAGGCTTGTGATGACATACTGTGAATGTGCTTTGTGGATTGTGAACTAGCTTTTTTTTTTTTTTTTTTTTTAATATATTTTATTGATTTTTAACAGAGAGAAAGGGAGAGAGATAGAGAACTAGAAATGTCAATGAGAGAGAAACATCGACCAGCTGCCTCTTGCACACCCCCTACCAGGGATGTGTCCGCAACCAAGGTACATGCCCTTGACCGGAATCGAACCTGGGACCCTTCAGTCCGCAGTCTGACGCTCTACCACTGAGCCAAACCGGCTTCGGCCAGACTAGCTTTTATCATTGTTGATGATATGATGGTAATAATGACCCATGCAAGGGGATAAAAGCCCATTTGGCCAGTCTCAAAGTTCACTGTGAACTTGACATCTTTTCTCTCTCCAGCTGTATCTTCTATTTAATCAAGGATTGCAATTTTAATTTCAACGGATACATATATTTTTTTATATTCTATTTTTTCCTAAATCTGTCTGGGCATCTCGTATTCCTTACTCAGTTTTTCTGCTCTATCTTCTATTCTTTAAACCTTTCTTAATAACTTCTTTAGATTATCTGATTATTCCAAACGCTGAAGTCCTTAAAAGTCTAATCCTGTTCAGCAGAAACCGGTTTGGCTCAGTGGATAGAGTGTTGGCCTGCGAACTGAAGGGTCCCCAGTTCGATTCTAGTCAGGGGCATGTACTTTGGTTGCAGGCACATACCCACTGTGCAAGAGGCCGCTGATCAATGTTTCTCTCTCATCGATGTTCCTAACTCTCTATCCCTCTCCCTTCCTCTCTGTAAAAAAATCAATAAAATATATTTGAAAAAAATCTAAACCTGTTCATTTTTGTTCCTGCTAATTCTCCTTCATAATGATTTGAATTCTTATATATTTAGTAATGTTTTTTAAATTTAAATTTGGCTAAATTTAAACCAAAAGTCTGGATTGGGGATGCTTTCCTCTAAGGAAGATTCAGTTTGCACCTGCTGGACTCCCGGGGACATTAATAATCTGAGCCACTGACATTTCTCAGTGTTTGGTTTATTTAATCAAAGGGAAGAGAGCAGGCCTCACATGGAAACTAACATCTTTATTAACTTCAACATCGAGTGCTGCAACCTAGACAGTTTTCCTTGTAGGTTCCCTCTGTAAGCAGGTGGACTTTATCCTTTCCACTAAGAATCTAACCTTTTTAAAGGTCCCAGCTTTGGCAAATGGTGTCTAACATTTAGCTCTTCCGTCCTCCTCCACCCTAGGGCTTAGTGTCTGGTTCTCCCCAACCTTCCATACATAGGAAACCCAGTCCCTAACGCTCTAGGTTTCTAGTAAGTTGACCTGTTTTGTGTTGTTGGTTTCAGGGGGATGCCCTTGCTGGATTACCTTTATTTGGGGGAGCTCACTGAGGAATTTTAAAAATATGTATTTGTTGTGTTTTATATAGCATTTAAGTTTTCTGCTATGGGAAGCTTTAGAGAACTCATAGTACTGGAAGAGCTTTTTCTTAAGTGATTATATGGTGCAGGTTGTTTTTTAACCTGCTTTTCCCCCCACTTGAAATATGAAAAACATTTATTATAAAAATAAGTAATAGGTCTAGAACATCATCTTAATGGTTACATAGTCTTCTCTTTTACATTTTTTAAAATTTTATTTTAGAGAGAGACACAGGGAGAGAGGAAAAAAAAAACACATCAATTTGTTGTTCTACTTATTTATGGATTCATTGGTTAATTCTTGTTATGTGTCCTGTCCCAGGATTGAACCCACAACGTTGGTGTATGAGAACTAAGCTCTAACCAATTGAGCTAACCGACCAGGGTCTAAATAGTATTCTATTGCATAATTTATTTAATCTTTTTCTAATTATTGGATATTTAGGGTTCTGGGGGTTTTTCCTCTTACTATTTTAAACAAATCTTTGCATAATCACAATCTTCTTCCTTCTTTAAGTATTTGTAAAAATAATATATGCAAACAGTAAGGAAAATAAAAATTATCCACAATCTTTTTTGCTGTTACCTTATTAATTAATGCCATTTGGTCTATAATTGGAATCTCTTAATCAAACAACAGATGAGGAGTAGGTAGGGCTAGAATATGAAGAGAGACCACGCCCTTTGCTCTTCACCCCTCACCCCAACAACTAGGGATAGGGAGCCAGAGCAAGTACTAGGGCTGGACTGAAAGTAACTGAGGACTATCAGGAGCAGAGAGCTGAAGGAATGGCAGACACCAAGTGGAATCCAAAAGCCTGGGACAACTGTGGTCAGAGGCACCAGGCCTCAGGAAAGGCTGAAGCTTCAAATCTCATCTCACCTGTTCCCTTCTGCCTGAAGCAGAGGGTCTTCTCGGACACTCCTCCTTCTTTTAAAGGGGTTTGGCTTATTTTGAGTCAAAAAGCAGTACAGCCCTAACCAGTTTGGCTCAGTGGATAGAGCGCCGGCCTGTGGCTCAAGGGCCCCAGGTTCAATTCTGATCAAGGGCATATACTTTGGTTGCAGGCACATCCCCAGTAGGGAGTGTGCAGGAGGCAGCTGATGAATGTTTCTCTCTCATAGATGTTTCTAACTCTCTATTTCTCTCCCTTCCTCTCTGTAAAAAATCAATAATTTTTTTTCTTTAAAAAGCAGTATAGGACCCTAGCCGGTTTGATTTAGTGAACTGAGCGTCAGCCTGTGGACTGAAGCACCCCTGGTTCAATTTTGGTCAAGGGCTCATGTCCTGGTTGCAGGCTCTATTCCTGGTAGGATGTGTGCTTCTGTTTCTATCTCTCTCTCCCTCTCCTTTCCTCTCTAAAATCAATAAAAATAAATAATTTTTTTTTAAAGCAGTACAGGCTCTGAAACTATCTCCAGCCCCATACTTTATAGCGGCTTACTCATGATTCTCAGGGTCTTGCCCCAATTTAAGAAATTCTACCATAGAAAGGCATTTTTTGTTGGGGGTGTGGGGGTCTTTAAACACCCCCCTAGCTCCTTTCTGCCTGCTCCCCTTGAGTGGAGCCCAGATTTTGATCCCAGGATATTCTTTCTAAAGAGGATCATGAGGGGAATGGCTGCCTTCTCTGCTCTTGACTGCACTTTTTTGAGGACCTGATGCACTTGCCTTTATAGTCTGTGAGACACCATCATATCTCTATAATAAAGTCTATTTCAGATTGATTCTGTCAGCTGTGCAGGAGACAACCCCTAAACCATAAAGAAGCCCCACCTTCTTTTCCTCCCAGTGAGTATGGAGCCCCAGCTGGGGTGATGGTTTCTTAAGGAAGCCCTAGGAGCTACCGTCTCCCTGAGAAGGACTGGGTGCCCAGAGCTGGCTGTATCGTAACCATAAGCTCCAGCCCTGGACAGGCATTGCATGGGTAAAATAATTCTTTGTCTATTCTAAATCCCTAAGGTTCCCCAAGCTCCTGAGTTCTGAAAAGCCCTTGCCCAGAGCATATGCTTGTGGGGAAGATGTGTAAACCAGGGAATAAGCATGAAGGAGTTGGCATGTGGGGGAGAAGGTAGGGACTCGCTGAGGTGTTTCCACTGCAGCGTACACCTCCCTGTCAACAAGCCGCTGGCTGGGCCATTCATCAAGCCTACCACAGGCCCAGCAGACAAGTCACTACCAATGCCAGGGGCTTGCCTTAGTGAGAGCAGCTGTCAGGGACTCCAACTCTCTCTTGGGAATAGGAAGATGACATCCAGGGAAGAAAGGGCAGGAATACAGACAGGGACCCGTCGGCACACGGTTGGATGCCTCACACCTTCCTCAGCCACCTTCACCACCACCGGAGTGGACAGCCTGAAGTCTGTGTGAAAAGAGGAAAGCTTGATGGTCAGGAGGCTGGTTTTGAAGTTCCACACTGGTTTGGGCGAGGTAAACTATCAATGCCTGTATTTTCTTATCCATAAAGAGGTGAGAATAAATAAGCTCATCTTTGTACCTGGCACATGGTGAGCGTTACAGAAGTGTTAGCTATGGACTTAGGGTAGCTGTGGGGGAGATGAGCCTTAGGACCACAAAACTGTCCTCAGCTCCATCCCATCCCCAGGCCAGGCCTGGCAGGTGGTGCAGCTGGAAGGCCTGTGGGAGAGGGCGAGACACTGGCTGTAGGAATGGGTTGATTGTGGGTTTCCGGAATGTGAGGACTCCTTCATGGTACCCTAAATGCAAGTGACACCTAACCAGGCTTCAAGGAAATACTAGTTAGAAAAGACAAGCCCTAAGCTTCCCTCAGCCCAGCCCCTTTGGGGCGGGACTGCAGGGGCGGGAAGAAACGTAGAGGCCGTCTGCTGCTCATATAACCGGAAGTTCTTCAGTCTCTCTGGATAGGGAAGTGAAATTAGTGCAGCGGCTTAGGTGGCCTGGACACTGACCCTTCTCCCCATCCATAGGCTCCTCTCTACCACAAACCCTCTTCCCAGAAGTCACTCCATCCGTGTAAACTCGAAACTTCCAGAAGCCCCTGGCACCTTCCAGTTTGATGTCTTCCAGCAAGTTATGGTGAGTGGAGAATGAGACACAGGGTGCCCCTTGGACTCACTGGGTCTGCGGTTGTGCCGGTACCAAGGCCAGGAACAGTGGGGCTCACGGGGGAGGCTGTGGATTGTACTGATCCTTCTGAGTCCCTAGGCTGGAGGTGGCACATAGGGCAGAGGGGTTGTGGGACTTGGAACCAATACCAGCTGGTGAAGAGGCCCCTTCTCCCAGGCAAAAAGATACCCCAGCCCCCCTGTTGTCCATCGAGGACTTGAAGAACCCGAAGTTCATTGGCCAAGGCGGGTTTGGCACAGTGTTCCAGGCGCAATACCAGACATGGGGTGATGTGGCAGTCAAGATCGTTGACTCGTGAGTATCCCCACTGCTGGATGACTAGCCAGGGTCTTGCTGAGGAGGCAGGCTGCTGTTCTGGGGCGGGAGCGGGGGATGGGGGGGTGGAGGGTGCGTGCCAGAGTGGGGAAGGGAGGGATCTGCCCATCAGAGCAAGACTCCATCTCTCTCCTGGAGTATAGGAAGAGGATAACCAGTGAAGTGAAGGCCATGGCAAGTCTGTGTCACCCCAACGTGCTGTCCCTGATGGGGATCACCGAGAAGCTGGAGTGGGACCACGCGTCGGGGCCGGCTCTGGTGACTCGGTTTATGGAGAACGGTTCCCTGGCAGGGTTGCTGCAACCCGAATGCCCTCGGCCCTGGCCCCTTATCTGCCGCCTGCTGCACGAGTTGGTGCTCGGGATGTGTTACCTGCACAGCCTGAACCCCGTGCTTCTGCACCGGGACCTGAAGCCCTCCAACGTCCTGCTGGACCCGGACTTGCATGCCAAGGTCAGCCTGTCCACACCCCAGCCCAGCCTCTAGATAGCTCATGCCCCAGAGCCACTCCAGCCCCACCAACTACTGCAGCTGCTGCAGCTCTGTCTACGGAATACCCTCAGCATCTCCCTCTGGACATAGGGCTGCCCAAGTGTCAAGGCCTATCCAGAAGCTTTAGCCCCAGCCACACCAAGTGATAGAGGTCCTGACCAACACAGCCACTTCCACATGCCCACCCCACTAGGCTCTCCAAAGACCCATGGCTGACAGCTCAGGAGACTCAGACCTTGACCCACCCTCAGAGAGAATGCAGACCTTCAAACCAAGACCCAATTGATCCTGCTGTTTCCCTAGCCCTCCTCACCCCCTTTACAAGGCTGGACCTGTATCTTCTGGATTGGGAAGGGGTAAGGGGAGGAGAAGAGGATTCTGGAAGCTGCCTGGCATTGTCCATCCCTCACTTCCTCCTCCTTTCCTTCCTTTGCAGCTGGCAGATTTTGGCCTGTCCACATTTCTGGGAGGCTCACAGTCAGGGGCAAGTTCTGGGGAGCCAGGGGGCACCCCAGCCTACTTGGCCCCAGAACTATTGTCCAAGAGAGCCTCTATGAAGAGTGATGTCTTCAGGTAAAACACCCATGCCAAACACACATCCTCAATGTGTACACCTCTCTGGCCCCTTCTAGGGGAAGATGTATGAAAGAGAAGTTTTGCCAGAGGTTAGGAGAAGCCTCAGTTTTTTGTCTCTTGCAGCTTTGGGATCCTAATGTGGGCAGTGCTTGCAGGAAGAGAAGCTGAGAGTAAGACTTGAAGCAGACTATTGGGTCCTTAATGTCCGGCGCCCTCCTCCTGAAAGCCCCCAAGCGCTCCAACTTCCTGCTCACCTGCTCAGACTGTCCTACCTCCTCCCCTTCTCCCCTTGGACTACACTCCCTGCCCTGTTCTTTGATAGAGCAGGTCGCCCCACTACTCTGAATGCTTTCTCTTCATGTCCCCCACCCCCACCTCAGTAGTGAACCGGACATCAGTGGTGCAGGAATCTGTGAGTGAGTTCCAAGCCCGGCCCCCACTGTCAGAGCTGCCCCAGCCCGGCCCTGAGACTCCTGGCCTGGAGGGACTGTTGGAGTTAATGCCGCACTGTTGGGCCCAAGAGCCCAAGGAGAGGCTTTCCTTCCAAGGTGAGCTGGCCGCTTAACTGGCAGCTGGGTTGGGCTTCGATCTGTCAGCAGAGAGCTTTCCCAGAGAAAGAAGTTTTGCTCACCTGCCACCCACTCTGCCTTCTCTCCAGATTGCCGATCGTACACTGAGAAAGCCCTCAGCCTGGTACTAGATAAAGCTGGTACAGAAATGGATGCTGCTGTCTCCACAGTGAGTAGCCAACGCCAGCCCCAATCTGAGAGCTGGGAAGGAATGGCACCACACGGCTCCCTTGGCCACCCGGTGACTCCCCACTGACCACTGCTCCTTATGCCTCAACCCGCATCCCACTCTCCCCACCCCGCTCCTGATGCCCTGACAGCAGTTTATGGACCAGGATTCATCTTCCTGGGGCTTACACTGGCTCTCCCACCTCCACACCTGCAAGTTCTCTTCTTACAGGTGAAGAAGTTCCTGTCAGAGCGCAGGAACAACAACAGGCTGTCTGCCTCTGAGCCAGGCTCAAAGGGGACAGAAATGGATGGCCGTGGGGCACACCCGGGAAGCCCCGATCCCGTGATCTCTGACATGCTGAAAGACCTGAATCTGAAAGAGGCTCCCAACTCTGTTTCTGAAAAATGTACAAACCTTCCTGAGAAGACTGAGGCGCAGAAAAAGCATGTTCCGCCTGCCTCCACAGCAGGGACACCTTCTGATTCAACTGCCCAACCTCCCCCAACTTCAGGGACCTCACCATTCAGAAACACCACCCCGGCTTGGACCCCAGGTCCTGGTCCCCAAAGAAATCCGGTGAGACTTTGGCAGGTCTAGGGGATGCAAATAGTGTCCTCTTTTCAAGGAAAACTTGGAACTGAGAAAGTATGCTCGGGAAACAGGCCTCGAGTCAGGGAGTCTGAGAGCTCTGTGTTGTTCACAGGGGTCTGAGAGATATGGCACCCACTGGCCAGGACCAAATCCAACAAAAGGTAACCATAGCCACTCCTTACACCCGCCCCCTATACCTCCCCCCTCCCCCACCCCCATTCTTCCACCAGCTTCATCCTCTAGAGTCTAGACCATATATAGAAGCCCTCTTTTGAAGCTCCTTATGTGTGGGGTGCTGCCAGGAAGGATAAAAAAGGGGAAAGAAAGGGCCTGAGGCCACTTACTCTAATCTTCTCATTTCACAAATGAAGAAACTGATACCCTTTGGGATTGAATCCTGCTGAGATTGCAGCAAAGCCTGGGTTTGTCCTAGGCCTTCTAGCTCCCCAGCATCAACTCTGTGAACCCCCAGATTCCATTGTGGCTATGTCAGTACTGAGGGCCACCAAGCAGAAAAGATCCAAATACCCGGGTCAAAAACATCAGCTGCCACCACTTCTTGAGCTTCTGCAGACCCAGTTCCGAAGGGGCAGCCTGCAGGGGAAAGGCAAAGGCATCCTGACACCTTCCGGGGGAGGCCCTGCGGTGCTGCTGTCTCTGTGTTTCCCTAGGGTGAACATGAGGTGCTGCTGCCCCTCCCCTCTCTGCTCCCCCTAAGTAACCCTCACACTAACACCTCTGTTTCTTTTAAAGAGCCATGGTACCCTTACATCCAAAACAGCCAAGGAGTGCAGATTGGAAACAACAACCGCATGGTGATACCTTATGTCTTGGTTGGAGCCGGTAGCACTGCCCACACACAAGCAGCTACAAAAGAAGTGCCACAAGAACCTGATGCCTGGACTAGGCCACGGGGCCAGTATAATAATGACAGAAGTTGATGGAGCATCTAAACTGCCTCGTGGATTTGAGGCAACTAGCTGAGAGTTCCTTTGAAGGCCACCAGGCCTGCACCCAAACTAACTTTGTGCCCCCAGGAACCAATAAAGTGGTGGTATTTTTTTAAATTCTTTATTGTTTAAAGTATTACATATAGTATTACATATGTCTCCTTTTTCTCCCATTGACCTCTCCCAAGCCACTCCTTTCTCCCTCTTCTCCCCTCCACAGCATAGGCCCTCAGCCTCCTAGTGTCTGTGTGCATTGGTTATGTTTTTATGCATGCATACAGGTCCTTTGGTTGGTCTCTTACTGTCCCCAACCTGCCTTCCCTCTAAAGTTTGATGGTCTATTGGATGCTCCTATGTCTCTGGATCTATTTTGTTCATTATTTTCCAAAAATGAGTGAGAACATGTAATATTTATCTTTCTCTGGCTGGCTTATTTTGCTTCACATAATGCTCTCCATGTCCATCCATGTTGTTGTGAATGATAAGAATTCCTTCTTTTTTTGCCAAAACCGGTTTGGCTCAGTGGATAGAGCGTCAACCTGCAGACTAACAGGTCCCGGGTTCAATTCCGGTCAAGCGCATGTACCTTGGTTGCGGGCACATCCCCAGTAGGGGGTGTGCAGGAGGCAGCTGATCAATGATTCTCATCGATGTTTCTAACTCTCTATCCCTCTCTCTCTTCCTCTCTGCAAAAAATCAATAAATATATTTTAAAAAAGAATTCCTTCTTTTTTACCACAGTGTAGTATTCCATTGTGTAGATGTGCCACAGTTTTCTAATCCACTCATCTGCTGATGGGCACTTACGCTGTTTCCAAATCTTAGCTATTTAAATTGTGATGCTATGAACATAGGGGTGCATATGTCCTTTCTGATTGGTCTTTCTGATTTCTTCAGATATATTCCTAAGAGTGAGGTGGCTCAGTCAAATGGGAGGTCCATTTTTAATTTTTTGAGGAAATGCCATACTGTTCTCCACAGTGGCTGCACCAGTCTGCATTCCCACCAGCAGAACACAAGGGTTTCATTTTTCTCCACATCCTCTCCAGCACTTGTCTGTTTGTTGATTTGTTCTGACAGGTGTAAGATGTTATCTCATTGCTGTTTTGATTTGCATCTCTCAGATGGTTAGTGACTGTGAGCATGTTTTCATATGTCTCTTGGCCTTCTGTATGTCCACTTTTGAAAAGTGTCTAAGTCCTTTGCCCATTTTTTTTTATTAGATTGTTTACCTTCCTTTTATTAAGTTGTATGAGTTCCCTGTAAATTTTGGAAATTAAGCCCTTATCTGAAATAGCATTGGCAAATATATTCTCCCATGCAGTGGGCTTTCTTGTTGTTGTTTTTGGTTTCTTTTGCTGTGCAGAAGCTTTTTATTTTGATGTAGTCCCATTTGTTTATTTTCTCCTTAGTCTCCATTGCCCTAGGGAGCTGTAGCAGTAAAAATATTGCCACCACATGTGTCTGCTATTTTGCTGACTATGAAAATGGTGGTATTTTAAATAAAGTATCACACAGGAAGCTAAGGTGTCAGACATAAGAGGGAAGGGACGTGGATGGGAAGTTGGGGAGAGGGCATTGAGGGTGGGGGAGGCAATGCAGTCTCCCTGATACCGGAAGCAAAATGCTGAGAGCTGGGGGTGGGCAATGCCATGGCACACAAGGTCAGGGCCCAGCCGTGGCAGGAAGGAATCCCAGAGGCCTGGCTCCTGGGCCCACTCTAATCTCAGGGCAGGGCACGTCCTCCAGAGCAGGCAAAACCTGACCCTAAACCAAACTCTGGGATTAGATACTGTCCCTCCTTTTCTTCTAGGCTACAAAGACTGGGCTGGAGGGTCCTGGGGAGGGGCTCTCCATGGGAATTTTGCCCAGCAGGAGAGACCCCTCCTGTTTCTCTGAGGTCAGCCCCCACACCACCACCTCTCTCCACCACACACACTCACATGCCCGTTACCTCTGAGGTGGGAGCCTTTTGGGTCTCTGTGTGTGTCCGGGAGTGGGAAGCTATGGCTTCTCAAAGCTATGCACAGACCTGCCCCCAACCCCGGAGCTGGCGATGGCGGGAGAATAGGCAATTGTTTAGCCAGGGCCACGGTGTGGCTGTCCAGGCCCAGAGAATTGGAGGGGGAAATGAGCCCCCATCTTCGTCTCTCCAGCCCTCTCTCAGCCTCCCCCCCCCCCCCCCCCCATCCAAGCATTCCACCTCCGTTTTAACACTTGCCACTCTGTGGGCCCACCCCACCCCACCCCCCTCGAATTTCTCGTGAGTCACCCTCTCTCCTAGATGGGGGGAGGGGGAAGGCAGTGCTGTTAGAAGAGACGATCAGAGTGGGGGAGGAGACCTGGGGAGTCCCGCTCGGCACGGGAAGGGCCGGGCTGTTTCATCGGGAAGTGGGAGGGGGCCGGCGCCGGGAGGGAAGCGCCTGTCGCCCGGGGCTCAGAGCCACTAACTTAGCGGCGAGGAGTGACTCCGTAGCTGGCTCCCCGAGCTCCCTGCCCAGGCCTGGCACGCTCAGCTGCGGCAGCCTCGCAGGCGGTGAGTTGGGGAAGAGAGGGAACCCGTTGCTTCAACCCCAAATCCTGACCCCCCCTGGACGTGAGGTTTTGCTCAGGCACCTCCGGAGTCCAGGTTTGGGGGAGCAGGAGCGAAGGATGGGGCAGTGAGTGCCCTTGCCGCCAACTGGGAGAGCCCTGGGAGCCACAGGGTGGGTCTAGAAGGAGATGGGATTGCCTGAGGCCGGGGGTGGGGAGGGCAGCGGCTCATACCAGGTGAGAAGGACGCAGCTGGGGCGGGCGGTAACCCGGACCACAACCCTCCCCAGCCCCGGGCCTGCATCCAGGCGGTGCAGCGCGGGACCAGGGGAGACCATGGCCCGACTCTTCAGTCCCCGGCCGCCACCCAGCGAAGACCTCTTCTATGAGACCTACTACAGCCTGAGCCAGCAGTACCCGCTCCTGCTGCTGCTGCTGGCTATTGTGCTCTGCACGCTCCTGGCGCTGCTGACCGTGGCCTGGGCCAGCGGCAGGGTGAGCAGGGCCTCCGGTGCCCAAGCCCCACAGGCGCGGGAGGGTCCCCGCCCAGGGAGCACTTTCGGCGGTGAGACTTGTGGGGTCTCCTTCGCCTGTGCTTTCTTTGCTGGGACCCAGAAAAGAAGCGCTGAACCTTACTAGGAACTATGGTGACCCTGGTCACGTCACTTGACCTCTCAGGGTCTACACCGGGAGGTAACTGAGCTCTGGAGGCTCCCAAGTTCCCTCGGGGTACTGACACACCTTACGAGCTTCTGTGCTCCACTAGTTCTAGAATAAATCCAACCCCAGGTTTTGAGATGTTCTGGGAGAGGGGGAGGATGGAGAATTACACTGGGCCCTGTGGGAATCTGTTTCCTGGTTTTCTTTCCCTCTTAGGGGCTGTGGGCAGTTGTACCCACAGACTCCCAGAAGGCACCTCCATCCCACTCTCATTTAGTCCCCAAATAAGCCCATCTCCAGATTCTTTTTTTCTTTTTCTTTTTTTTCTTTTTTTTTTGGGGGGGGGGGGAGGAGTTTTTCATTCCATTTCTGGAAACATCCCTCTCCACATTTTCTTCTCACTCTTGGGAGGAGAGGTGGGGAGACCACCTCACCGTCTAGGGGAGAGGGGGGACAAAGGGTGAAGGCACTCACGGGACTTCTACGCCCTGAGGGGGGTGGCGAGGCCCAGCCTCTGGAAGCGATAGGAGGTTCTTGACGCCCCCTGCTGTCAAAGCACTGCTTGCAGGGCCGGAAACCCTGAGGTTTGTGTGGGGCGGGGACTCTCCCCAGCAAATTGGTCAAACTTGGATGCATTTATTTCTAAGTGCCTTCCGTGCGCTAGGGATTTTTTTTACTCGCTTCCCGACCCCAGGCTGGTGCCAGGATTCCTATTTGACAGATGAGAAAACTGAGGCTCTGGATGATCGAGGATACACAGATGGCCCGTAGGGGACGGGAGCCAGAATTTCTGGGTAGATGGCTGGTGACTGAGCGGCCTCTGCAGCCTGCAGATGTGAGGTGGAACCATATAAAATTACTGGCTGTGTAAATTACAGATTATCAGCAATTCATTCAGTTCGACCTAATATAAATGGCAAGCGGAGGTGCCCTGCCTTATTTTATACTTGGGTTTGAGACATTTTTCAGAACTGGCCTGGGGCGAAGGGCTGTCCTTTCTCTTCCTGGACCAGCTCCCAAACCCCACACGTGGCCCTCCCCACAGGAGCTGGCCTCAGACCCGGGCTTCCTGACCACGGTGCTGTGCGCACTGGGCGGCTTCTCGCTGCTGCTGGGCCTGGCTTCCTGCGAGCAGCGACTGCAGCGCTGGACACGTGCTCTGTCCGGCCTCGTGTGGGCAGCGCTGCTAGCATTAGGCCATGGCTTCCTGTTCACCGGGGGCGTGGTGAGCGCCTGGGACCAGGTGAGAGGGGCGGCAGGTGGAGCAGGGGGTAGGGAGAGGGATCCTGGGCCTTGGACTTGCACCAGGACTCCTATAGAGCAGAGCAGCAGTGTCAGCCTGCAGCTCCTCTTCCCTCCCCCAGGTGTCCTTCTTCCTCTTTGTCATCTTCACCACGTATGCCATGTTGCCCTTGGGCATGCGGGACGCCACGGCCGCGGGCCTCACCTCCTCCCTGTCACACCTGCTGGTCCTCGGGCTGTATCTTGGGCCTCAACGAGACTCAAGACCTGCGCTGCTGCCGCAGGTGAGTGTGCATGCAGAACAGGCTGCGCCCAGGGCCGGCTCCGCTGGGCACTGCTGGGTTCATCAGGGCATTCACCAACCCTGTGACGAGCTGTGACTCCATGGCAGCATGCTACGCTGGGCACAGGACACAAACACAGAGAGGTCCCTACCGTGCCCTGGTACCCAGGGCAGTGCCATGCCTGCAGTCACCAGAAGAGGGTTCTGTACCCCCGGGGAAGGGAGTTGGACAGGAGGCCAGGGTGCTGGGTATAGATGTAGATGATAGAACCCT